CGAAAGCATTTACGACATGTCCTAGAGCACCGCTTACCCTAAGCTGCTTCCACATGGCCCTATTGGTAGATGCACCGTCACAGACCACACCATCAACATAAACTCCTGCTTGCTCTAAAGACACAATGCACTGAAGCAACAGCTGTACAAGGAGTGTAGCCCTAGTTGCACCTTTTGATGCAAATACTGCCACTGGTTGTAAATAGCTGGCAGCAAAAGGGGCAAAAGCAAACAGTAGACCATGGTCAGCCAGCTCATTGCTTTGTCCACCTTGGTCTCTATGGTCAACAAGACCAGCACATGTCATGTTCTTCGAGTTTACAGTCATCTCTTTCCTGACCTGTATCTCGTCTAGAATAAGCATCCCTCTGCGTTGAAAGGGCGTCTTCTTTGCCAATTTAATCTTGAGAGCTTTAAAAAAGTTCTTATCAAAACCACATTTGAGCCCCACCATTTTTATATATCTTCTAATGGTGGTTGTGTATGGCATCGGCAAGATGTTATTGCTTCATAAAAATGCGTAAGTAGAGGGGCTCCTGATGTTACGCAAGAGGCATAGGAGTAGCCAGTCATCTGTATAGTGCCTGTTATTCTTCGTAGTGCACTTAGCTGCAGATATACATTCTTGCATAAGAAGAAGCTGCATCAGTGGAATATCAAAAGCTTGGAGTTTCTCTTCGATATCCTCTTCTTGCAGTTTCATTATTTCAGCTTTACTTTCTTCCAGTTCTTCAGTAATTAGCTGGTTGCACTTCAGTAGCCATGCTTGTGCCTTCTTTAAAATGGACCTTGCTTGACGCAAGGCGTCAACTTTGTGTTTCTTGGTAGGCGACACAGACAGCCTGATGCGCTTCAGTGGTTGCCGTTGTTCCGCTCAAGCAGCCTGCCTCTTTGCATAAATTCTGAGAGTATCAAAGAGACTGCTGCATGCACGACATATGCTTTCCATTCGATAACAACACTTGGCACCTTTTATGCCTTCATTTGCTTTGGCAGTCAATGAAAGCAGACTCGGGGGCCACAGAAGGAAAATCCCTCAAACTGGGTCCTCCACCATAGACATCTACACTGTCAACAGTTTTCAAGATATGTTCAATTTGCGATGATGTTGCAGCAAAATTATTTACACCCATTGCGCTACAATCAACCGGCTTGCCAAATATATGCACTTGTACAGTCATGCCACATTTCACATGCACAGTTTTTCTGTTGAAAAACACACATGACTCATCACTTGCGCGCAGCAGAGAGGCGTCGTGGAACACGAGGTCACGATACCCTTCCAAGTCAATGCGATCAACACCACCCCACGATGACCTCGGAAGGCACAAAGTCGACGCAGCACAGAACATTTCATCGAAAGGTGATGTGGCAGGGTCACTTGCCGTGACGACTTCGCTGTTTTCGTTGACTTTAGCATCTGAATTTGGGGCTGTTGCTGCTTGCTGCTCGGCTTGAAACCTGCTGCTGGTCCCGCTGCTGGTCCCGCTGCTGATTCCGCCTGTGCTCGCAGAGGAAGCTGCACCGCAAGCATGCCGCCTCGACTGTTTTCGAGGACTCCTTATCTTCTTAGACAAGTAACTAGGCGCTCCTTCGAAAATAGATGGCACGGCGCCCTTTGAAATTCCTCCTCTTCTGCTGCAGGCATCAGAACGTGGACATTAATTTCTGAAGACCACGCTTTCAAAATAAAATGCGGGGCGAAATGTTTTTCGCACACACGGTCTGTCCGTTGAAGGTCGCGGTCCTTGCGAGGGATCGCCCGCCTCCATGCTTCAAGCCTGGCTTGATCTTGCGGTGGCATAAAAAGCGAAAACTTTTCTTTGCACGACCTATAGCCTGTGTTGCAGTAGGGTACAAAGCACTTCCCCATCGTGAAGCACACTAGTACACTGAACAACGAAGGACATCGAAGTGCCAACTTACGCGAGCACATTTAGAAAAACAAGTAACATGTCCAGCCTGGAGTGAAGGGACAGCAAGAATGCGGCGGGAGGGCAAGCGACGTCGGTGGATGATGATGATGATGATGTGATGGCGGCCGGCCCCTTTGCAACGGGGGAACACACTCAGTGTCCTGGCCTCAAAAAGAAAAGTGGGAAAAGAAAAACAAAAAGCACAGAGAAAAAAGAAAGGACCAAGAAAAGGATCCACACTCTTGAACGACACAGGCAAGAGACGCGCACACAGTGGTCTAGGTCCTAAGTCCGCCGTATAGTTGCCCACCACTCAGTAAGCCGCCTTTTCGTGGCTGCGACCGCGTACCGTCCCCCCCATTGTCGCTGCTTCCATCTTCATCAAGCCTTTGAAACCCGAGCGCCTGTGGGAGGGTTGCACCCTCCACCTGAGAAGTTGGGAGACTCCTGCAGTGAAGGACGAGATGCTCCTGTGTCTCACTCGCTACGCCGCAAACTCTGCACAGGTTGCTGACCACAGTGGCATCAAACTTTCTGCGGTACTCCAGAGTGCGAAGAGCCCCAGCTCTCGCCTCGAACAGGAGGCTGCTGCCAATGCTATTGTCATAGAGGCGCGACCCACAGATGCTGTCCTGGTGTTTCCTGTAACACTCGAGAGTGGACTTCGCCTCCATAGCTTCTCGCCATCGGGTTTCTTCTGCTTCTCTGACTCGCATGCGGACCTCGACCGTCCATTTGGCTGCTGTTTCAATAGGACTGGCTTCTGCAAAGAAGCCATACTTCTTCTCCAGCTGGTAGAGTCGTCGTGTCCAGTCAGTCCTCATGCATGTTGCCGAAAGGTACTCGAACACGCGGCGCGCCCATCGAGTGCGTCGCATGAGCGTGAGACGACCCCGATAGGCAATCTTGCTGGCGGCTTCCCGAGCTTCAAAGCTGGACCATCCGACGTCTCCCTGAATCGCCTCGTTGGCCACTCGATAATGGCAACCGAGCGCTGCACGGCCGACCTCTCTCTGCTGACGCTCCAACCACTCCCGTGTCGTTGGCGATATGCACACTACCGCGTTTCCAAACGTCAGGCCCGGCACGTGAACCATCTTCCACAGGTCCCGGATCATCTGAAATCGGTTGCAACCCCATAGGCATCGGCGACGAAGGATTCGTTGAGCCTGCAACGCAGTCTGTCGAATCACAGTCTCGTGTAGACTATATTTTGCTGCATCCACACACAGGGTGACGCCCAGGTATCTGTAATCGTTGCGTGTGGCCAGCAGTTCTCCTCCTAAAGTCAACGCTGCTGCATCGGTACTCCCTCCAGTTAGACGGACAACCGCCGATTTCTTAGTGTTGAATCGAAGTCCAAGACTCGCGAGTTCCGTCTGGCAGATGTCGAGGAGGGATTGCAACTCCTGGTTACTCTCTGCCATAACCACCAGATCATCTGCAAATGCCAAACCAGGCAGGTGGAAGTTCTCTTCAGCACTAGTTGTGCTGAAACGCATGCTGAATCCGAGGTTGGAGTTCAACAAGGCCCGCTCTATTCTGGATGCGTATAGAATGTACAGCAATGGTGACAGTGGGCAGCCCTGCCTCAGACCCTTATTTACATGAATTGGGCCAGTAGTTATGGCACCCAACTGCACACTCACTACATTGTCACTGTACAACCGTTGTATAGTGGAGATTAGCAGCCGGGGCAGTCCAAGGTCAGACAGGCATGCAAAGAGAGGACCGTGCGGCACGCTATCGTACGCTTTTTCAACATCGAGGAAGCAGCACAACAGCGTTCTCCCTTCCCTGCGAGCTATTTCTGCACACTGTGTGACGACGAACAGATTGTCATCCAGACGTCTGCCTGGCCTGAAGCCATTCTGAAGCTCGGTCAGTAGTCCCTTGGTTTCCGCCCAGCCACTCATCCATGCTTTGATGACCCCCGCGAACAAGCGATACATAACACTGGTGACCGTTATTGGTCTGTAGTCCTCTATGTTCCTCGCATCTCCGCCCCTTTTGGGGATAAGAATCACCTTCCCTTCATGCCATTCTTTAGGGATGGGCTCGCCTTCGATGATGGCCGTGAGGATCTCTGCGAGGGTGGCTAGTTTAGCGCGCCCTCTCTGGAGAGTTTTCCTAACCAGAACAGCATGCCCCTCTCCCCACGAAGCCTCCCTTATGCGCTGTTCTCTCACCTAAACTATTCTTACACCGTGCTTTGGGCCACGGTGTAATCTTACACCGTGCTTTGGGCCTACCTGTGCAGTGCGCACCACATTAACGGTACAATGCCTCTTTCGCACAGGCTGAAAAATCTACAAAGCCTCATTTGCAAGCAGATTTGATACTTGACATGTAGTGTTGCACTTAAACGAACCCTGAGCGAATAAACTTCGATTATTCATAGCCACGATGACCCCTTTAGTGCGCCTCGACCAATACTCAATCCCTCCTGTGTCGCTGTAGTATTCAACAGGTACAAGTGGCGCGCCTGAAAGGGACCTTGACGTCATGCTGTTTCACAACAACCTTACATCCTAAGACCAGCTGTCAACATGCATTCAGTAAGGAGACTTCATGAAAACAGCAGAAAGAAAAAGTCTAAAGCCACGTGCATCCCGATAGGCCCTTGAAAGAGGGACTTGTATCGAATATGCAAGCGGCATGAATTGAAGGGAGCCGATTTGAGCACTTCTCTGCCGCTGAGTTGCAACGTGTGGTGAATCGCGTGAATGAGGAGCCGCGTTGGTACGCACTTCGCTACTAATGCGGCCCGATGCGCTCTCATAACAAGTCACATAGTAATGACACCGTAATTGAGAATATTGGATCCCATGCCCGAGTACAGAAAATGCAAGAGCTTTCTAGTTACCAACACTGCGACCCTGTCTTGTAACGCTTGCTCTAGAAGCACACGTATGCAGCGGCCAGTCGACCGAATGGTGTCTGCACAAAATTGAGCCTCACATTCCGCCACTGTAGGTCACAATATCAGATACACGTTGTATTTGACAAGCTCTGGCTCCAGCTAGTAAATGGAAAAATACGAGGGATCTCTCCCAAGCAGAGTGCGGATATGTGTTTACTCACCACGAGATCGAAACTCAGGCTCGGAGCATTAAATTCTGCTGCCGGACGTTGACAAGAGTGGAACACAAAATCTTTGGTTAAGAATATATGCAAACATACCCGCGTTTGCATTCTTTGTTTCTTAATGCGGCAGTAGACTTGGCCATGTCTTGGCTTGTTTCTGTAACTTGCTGAGGATTGAAGAATAGATAGATTAATATGGCTGTTCTCTATGGCTATTCCCTTTAGACCGGGCGGCGGCTAACGTCACCTAGCCATAATACTCAGTGAACCAACAACTAGTAGATTTATCTTTTTTTTTTTCCTCTAAATAGTGAAGTTGAGGACTGGTACTTTGCCGTGAAGACTAATTTTTACTCGTGCCTTGATTTTAGCCACAAATCAGATAACCTCCTTCTAGTAATTCTACCCGCTTAAAGTCTATTTGCCCTCCCGGTCCCTAAACCCCAGTGCTTTGAAAAACTCAGCGCCATCATCCTAAACTGTAGGGTGAAGCTCTTTACAGAACATTATATTTTTTTATTGATATGATGTATATGCAGGTGTTGTCACACAAGTATATGGCGCTGGCTACTCCTTAGCCCTTGAGTAAACGTTGGACACGTATCTTTAAAAAAACACATACAAAACAGATAGAAGATAGAACACTCGAGCACACAAATGCAAAAACGCATATGCACATATCACAACACAATGATAAGGAAATGGTCAAAGTCAACGGATGAAGTCTCTGATAATGTCTGATTAATTGATTGATTAAAACTTTATTTTTGTCCTGAGAAGACGCAGGGGAGACCCCCCGCCATCCGGCTAATCCCACGTTGGGACCGTCAAGCCGAGCTTGGCGGCCCGTTCACGGGCACTCTGGACGGCCAGGGTTTGATCCTTAAATTCGGGGCTGCGTAAGAGCGCCGCCCTCCTGTCCTCACTGAGGGTGGGGCCGATGGCTTCGCATTCCCACAACACATGATTGAATGTGGCTAACAGTCCACAAGCGGGGCAATCCGCACTTGGATACCGTTCAAGGTAGATGGCATGAAGAACCGCAGGGTTAGGATACGCACTGGCTTGCAATAGTCTTAGGGTGGCTGCCTGCGCCCTGCACAAGGCCGGGTGTGGGAGAGGGAATACCCATCTTGACAGATAGAAGTGCTTTGTTATTTCGTTGAACGTAAGTAAGGGTTCCCAGTGAGGCAGAGGGACTGTGGAGGCGGCGCGGTCAGTGAGTCCTCGCGCGGCCTCGTGTGCGCCCTCGTTCGGGTTAGATGTAAAGCCCTCAATCGACCCCGGGTGAACGGGAAACCAAGTGAGAGAATGGGGCGTGATACTCTTGACGCTTTGTAGAATGCGGAGGGCCTGAGGGGCTACCATCCCGGTTTCGTAGGCTTTGATAGCCGCCTTGGAGTCGCTGTATATTGACTCTCTGCGATCATCTAGCATAGCCAGCGCGATTGCAACCTGTTCGGCTATCACGGGCTTCGATGTGCGTACTGTGGCGGAGCAAATGAGCCTGGAATTTGAATCGACGATGAAAACAGCGAATGCCTCTTGTTGGACATATGGCGCAGCATCCACAAAGCTTGCATCAGTGGGGTTGCTACAGACGTCCTCGAGCAGAGCTCGACCCCTGGCCCTACGCCGACCGACGTTGTGCGCAGGGTGCATATTGCGGGGAACGGGTGCGATGCGCAGTTGAGACTAGATGTTTCTGGGAATCTGCATGGAATCGGGGCACTGGTCAATAGGGTTGAGGCCCAAATCGTGAGTATCTTGCGGCCCGATTTGGTTCCGGAAAGCCTGAGCAGCGGTGAGCGCTCTTGCGCCTCGATTGTCTCTTCGAGTGTATTGTGAACACCGAGCTTGAAAAGGTTTTCAGTGCGAGTGCTTACAAGCAAGCCGAGCGCGAGCTTGAAGACCTTTCTTATGAGGGAATTGAGCTTACTTCTATCTGCAACATGCCAATTTTACATCGCCGCCGAGTACGAAAGGTGGCAGAGCACAAACGCATGTATGATGCGGATGAGATTGTCTTCCTTGATTCCGCAGTGTCTTTTGATGATCCTCCGGATGAGGCCGAGAGCACTTTCCGTCTTGGTAGTGATCTGTCTCAGTGCAGCTCCGTTAGCGCCGTTGGACTCGATATACATTCCCAATATTCGGAGCGAATCCACTCTGGGCACTGGCGACCCGTCACTAGTGAAAAGCCGTATTTCACTTTGAGACGCAGGTTTCCAGTCACGGTGGCCGCCGCCTCGGGGTCTTTTCTTGTAGAGCAGAACTTCAGATTTCGATGGGGAGCACCTGAGACCGGTGGGATGGAGGAAACGTTCGGTCACGTCGATTGCGCGCTGCATGGCTTCCTCAACTTGACCATCGCTCCCGCCTGTGCACCAGATGGTTATATCATCTGCGTAGATGGTATGATTGATTCCTTGAATCTTCGCGAGTTCCTTGGAGAGCCCGATCATCACGATGTTAAATAGTGTTGGTGAAATGACTGAGCCCTGAGGCGTGCCGCGTGAACCGAGGTTGATCTCTCGTGATAAGTACCCTTCGATCTTGAGCTTGGTAGTTCTCTGGTAAAGAAAGGATCTCACGAAGTCGTAGACCCTCTTCCCTAGCCCTAGGCTGGCAATAGACTGGAGAATGAATTCGTGAGAAACGTTGTCGAAAGCCTTCTCCAGGTCTAATCCAAAGATGCCTCTGGTATCTATTGTGCTCTGGTTGATGATCTGATGGTTTATCAGCTTCATGGCATCCTGTGTAGAGAGACCAGCTCTGAAACCAATCATATTGTGGGTGTACATGCCATTGGTCTCGAGGTGCACCTTGAGTCGGTTCAGAAGGGCGTGCTCTGCGACCTTACCGACACAGGAAGTTAATAGAATCGGTCTTAGATTACCTATTCCTGGTGCTTTACCAGGTTTCGGGATTAGAACTGTGTAGGCCGTCTTCCATTGTGCGGGAACCTCTCCACTGTGCCACACCTCATTATTCTTTTCCGTAAGGAATTCGATGGAGTCATCATCAAGGTTCTTGAGCATCTTATTGGTTATGCCATCAGGGCCAGGGGCGGATTTGGCATTTAGGGAAAAGAGAGCCTGCCGTATCTCGGCCACAGTATAGTCCTGGTCCAACTCCAGCACGTCGCACCCCGCGTAGTCCGGAAACTGTGTGGGTGCAGAGCTATCCGCGACTCGCAGATACCTGTCAATAAGCTTGTTGACAACCAATTCGTCCGTGGTAGAGTCAGTAGCAAGATGGATGGCTCGCGCGAGGGATCGATTCTGGCTGGACCTGGTGCTGGCCTGATCGAGAAGGTGTTTGAGAAGACCCCAGCTCTTCCCAGATCTGAGCTGACCCTCGATGCACTCACAGAGTTCATGCCATTGTTGTTTACACAAGGTTTTGAAGTGCTCCTCGATCGCCCTGTTAACCTCGGAAACCTTCTTGCGCAGCCTCCTGTTATGCTTCTGTCCTTTCCACCTCGTGAGTAGGGCTTGCTTGGCTTCTAGTAGGTGTGCCAACCGGCTGTCCATGTTTTCAACATTGAGGTCAGTGACGACCTCCTTGGTCCTTTGTACCATCCTTCAAAGTCTGTCCCAGCCGTCGGTGCTCTCTCAGCTCTGACTTCGCGAAAAACGTCGCAGTCGACCACCTTGAATGTTTTCGTCCTAAAGCGGGCAATCGTGAAGGATACCTCGATGATGTAGTGGTCACTTCCGAGGTCTAGAGCCGTGTTGACCCATTTGACCCCATCTATATTCTTCACAATAGTCGGTTCCGGGGTGGTATCCCGACATAAGAAGTTACGTCTCTTAGTGGGGAAATCCTTGTCAGTCATAAGCCGCGTCAAGTCGGCTTCTGTCGCAGTCTGCCATAGCTCGCGTCCCTTGGGGGTATCATACATGTATCCCCACACGCTGTGTGGGGCGTTGAAATCCCCTACGACTACAAGGGGGTAACTACTGGCCATGCTCACAGCCCTTTTGAGGAGAGAGTTTGCTCTCGCCCTGCGATAACTGGGAGAGCAGTATACATTGAGAATAAAAAGGGTATTTCTTCGAAGACCCTGCTTGGGTGAGTTCATTATAATTTCAGTCATTACGTACTCAATGCCATCGGCAACTGCACCGAGGTCACGCGATAGGTAATTGTACCTTTTGCTGATAAGTGTGGCAACTCCCCTACCTCCTGAATGTGATGACGCTACTAGGTAACCCGGGAGTTTGATGGGGGTGCCAGACGCAACTTCCTGAACAGCGATTATTTGGGGCTTAAAATCAAGAGTTCTTAAATATTGCTGTAGAATGGGCTTTTTGTGAGTAAACCCGCCACAGTTCCATTGCCAGATTCTGAAGTTTTCGTCCACACTATCCTTGTTTAGGCTGAGGGGATGGTTGAGCAGCTATAGCGGCCCGGAGGATCGCGCCCTCAGTCGGTGGCGCTAGTACATTGCGTTGTGCTGGAACCTGCAAAGGAGTCGGACTGGGGTCTCTCCTCGCACGACCTCTTCTAACTTGCTTATGCGTTCACTCAGTGCTCCTAATCCCATCTTGGGGTGTGCCACGGCTTCTTGAATTTTCGCTAAGGTAGCCTGCATGTTCACAAAGGAAACCTTGAGTTCCGACTCTGATAATGTCTCTCCCTAATATTTGGTCCAACCAGCACTAAAACAGCAGAGCACACGTCTGGCCCTTATAAAGATGTATTCGCTCGGGTGTCAAAGCAGTCAACTCGTCATTCACTTCAGCACACACATATGATGGGTGTCGTATGATACTACACATAATAGGTACATGTGTTGTGCAAATGAAAGAACGTTATTTCTTAGCACTTGTCAGCAATTCTGCTGCCTTGTAAGAATCGTTTTAGCGCTTTTAAAGCGTTAGCCTGCAAAACTCCAGTTGGCTACGGACCGAGACGTTTCTTCATGCTAAACGGTTTGCGGTCTAGTGCCAACAGTTCCGTTTTGAGACGGCGTCTCGGCGTGTCATGGTGTGGACAGTCTATGAGAAGGTGGCATACGTCTTCGTCTATAAATTCACATTCGCAGTCGGGAGTTTCAGCTCTGCCAATTCTGTGCAAAAAATGTTTTGTGTATGCGGTGCCTAACCTCAACCGGTGAATAAGAGTTTCCACACTTCTA